GGAGGATGAGGCAGAATAGCTTGAATCCAGGAGGCAGAGGTTGCAAAGAGCTGAACTCACACCACTGCACTTCAGCCTCGGCAATACACAGAGACTCCATCTCAAAAACAACAACAAAAAGAAAGGTCAGGCTTTCAGACATGGCTTGAATTGACTTCTCAAGCTAGAATTCAATTGGCTCTGAATCCATGGCAAAAATAATGGGCTTTTAAGTTTCACTGTGAATAAAAGCAGCTATCCTCCTTGAAGAACTTCCTATGGTCACCTGGAATAATGTCTTTAAATAAAACACCTAATATTAAAGAGTCCATACCGACAGTGAATAAGTTATCAAATGCTAGCCAATCAGTGTTGGGAAGAGGCATAGGAAAACCTTAGGAAAAATATTGGGGAAATTGGGGGTCCTCTGTTTGTCAATACTTTAGATCAATCTTTGCATCAGCAGTTTTCTTCCATACCCGGAATTGCACAGAATTAAGGAGGATGTAAAGCCAGAAGAAGCTTAGACAGATTCTGGTTCAGTCATTATGAAATTCTTACATTCTTGAATATATTTGTTTATATTAGGTAAAACATTCACAGAACAAATTTCGGTTGTACCTGGAAATGACAGTCATATTCAGGATACTGGTTAGACCTGAGGACACATATCCATGAAAGTTAAGCATATACAGGTAAAGCAACAATTCTAGAGAACAACAATGCTTATCTTTTATGTGTATCCAGGTAGAGTTATAGCAGAAAGTCCAAGTCTAGAAATGACAACCTGACACAAAACTCCATCATCAATGAAATGATCATGTTAAACTTTACATTTCAATATCTCTTCCCTATTAGTACTTCTATATATAGGCTATATATATATTGTGTGTGTGTGTGTGTGTGTGTGTGTGTGTGTGTGTGTGTGTGTACTAATTGATAGATCTATTAGATAGATTAAATAATTTTTTTCTGACAGGATCTTGCTTTTTCACCCAGGCTAGAGAGCAATGGTATGACCACAGCTCACTGCAGCCTCAACCTCCTGGGCTCACTTAAGTGATTCTCCCACTTCTGCTTCCTGAGTAGCTGGGCCTACAGGCATGTAGCAACAAGCCCAGCTAGTTTTTTGGGTTTTTTTCCCCATAAAGACAGAGTCTTGCAGTATTCCCAAGGTGTTGAACTCCTGGCCTCAAGCAATCCTCCCACCAAGTCCTCCCAAAGTGCTAGAATTATAGGCATGAACCACTGTGCCAAGCAACACTCCTATTTTTTAAGTAAAAATGATCCTGTAAATATATATAAGTAAAATCTAGAAGGCTATGCAAACCAAAATGTTAAATAGTGGTTACTTCTGTCTAGACTGTTTTCTCCTTTTCTATATCTATTCTCTAATTTTTCTACAATCAGCATGTGTAATAAAATTGTTAACAAATTTTAATTGTTAATGAAAAAGATTATATAAAGACAAAAATGTTAAGGATCTCAATCTTTTGTTTGGGAATATAATAGATTTGGTTTAAATCACTAATTTTACCTTATAAAAATATGTTTAATATCCATCCTACACAAATATAGGCAGAAATGCTGCATCTAGAAGAAACATAATCTATTAGTAAATTGTATGTAACTTCTCAGATTTTTGTCTCTAGATGTTTAATGACTGAGTTACCTTATTTTTCAAACCCAACAGAAACATATTAATCAAGAATTAAAGAAAGTCACTTTCAGTTCAACAAGCTTAATGGCTATGGGAAAATATTATTACACAAATTTCAAGCCAAATAGCATTATCATTTTAAAGCAAAAAACATTTAGCTAAAACGCAAACTTGTATTATTTTTCTTTACTTACGTATATGGTTTTCCTAAAAGCACGTTTGATTTTGTATTTTAAAATGTATTTAAACTACTGACGAAAGTACACTCAGTCAAATTGAAAGCTGAAACTCAAAAATACATGCTTATTCAGCTCACTTAGACCTGACCTTCCTCTATTCTTGTTTGGAATGTAAATACAGAAAGTAGGATTCTTAGTTTTTCCAGTCACAAAGATAAGTTCTCTTAGTTGAGTTTAACTAATTTGCTCAAGAGGAAGCTATTAAACACCAAAATAAATTTTTAGTAGAAGCTAAATTTCTACTTGAGGACCTTCAGAGGAATGCACATGACTTCACAGGCGAACTTTCTTTTAAAATTTATCTACAAATGCCTATTTCTTGAACAATTCACTCTCGATCCTGAAAATGTCATACGGTTTAGAGAGCTCAATGCCAGGCAAAAATGACTCTGAACTATTTATTAAACACTTTTCTTAAAAGACCCATGAATATATTTTTTACAAATAGTAAATTCAGGCAGATCTTTCACTTTATTCTTCACACATCACTCACCATAAAGCTGAGCCTCTGAGTAACTTCTTACTGTGATAACTACCTAAATCAGTACGTAGAAATGTTTGCAAAGATCAAATCAAAGGAAATGCAGAATTAATGTAGTGATTTTGCTTTTGCAAAGCAATTTCTAGAACACAATATTAAAAAGCAGGACTAGGTAAAGAAAATATAGTACATATACACCATGGACTACTATATGGCCAAAAAAGAATGAGATCATGTCCTCTGCAGGAACATGGATGGAGCTGGAGGGCTTAGTGAACTAACACAGGAACAGAAAACCAAATATGCATGTTCTCATTTATAAGTGGGCACTAAATAATGAGCACCAACGGGCACAAATAGGGGAATAGCAGACACTGGGCCTACTTAAGGGAGAAGGGTGGGAGGAGGGAGAAGACCAAAAAAACAATAACTATCGGTTACCATGCTTAGTACCTAGGTGACAAAATAATCTGTACCCCAAACCCCCGAGACACAAGTATACCTATGAAACCAAACAAACCTGTACATGTACCCCTGAACCCAAAATAAAGGCTTAAAAAAAAGAAAAAAAGAACGAAAAGCAGGGCTTCATAGAACAAATTATTTTACAATGGTTCTTAGCATTGTACTACTTTGCAGCTTAACGCTAAACAAATGACTTATATTTGTAAATCGTGATTACTAATTTCTAAAAAGCACTTTAGTTCTTGATGAACCAAAAAGCTTCCAGTTTATATTTTCTACAAAATTACTTTAATGGAAAATGAATATATTATCAATATTAAATCACTAGGCCTCTCTGTGAAATGAATAATTTTGCTGCATCTCCACACACACGGTGATATAACCTGGGAAGAAAGCACTCTACAAGAACACTTGCTACCCCATGAAGTGAACACAACAAGCCAGTTTCCTATCTGACTCACCATAGGCATATTCTAGTTACTGAAAAAGCCAGTAATAAGAAAAGATACAATTTGTAGGAGGGAGGAAGGTAAAGAATAAGGTGAGGGGATATACACAAAACAATCCAAGGCAGAGGTTTGTTTATGGTCATAATATCTTCCCCAATATCAGTTGGCACAGATTACACAGAGGAGCACTAACTGGAAATTATTTCTTTCATAGTCTCTACCTTCTATGTAAGGGACTCCAAGTTTAAAGAAAACTCAAAGAACAACCAGCTGCAAAAGAATTAACTTTGCACATCATCAAAGTATCTGACTAGTGCATTTGGTTTGAACAGAATTCCTGCAACAAATGGATTACTTCACAGAAACTCAATTTCAAAGTCTGCTTATGACAACCGCCAATCCTAAAACTTCAATCCATTGTTTGGTCTGAAGTTTGCACTCTGCAAAAATTCTGTTTACCAGAAGCCCCTTCTACTCAACTTATAATTCAAACCATATCCCAAATAACACTTTGAAAAGCAATGGTTTTTCCTCAAGAATTTTATATCCAAATACAGATAAAGCAGGTGAGATAAACACAGCAAAACTGTGCAACATTTATTTACTATCTCTAGCAGCAAAGCTTTAAAACCAGGAAACCAACTTTTAACAAAGCAATCTCCTTCCCACCCCAACTAGTTGTTTACAAAGTACACAGATCTTCTTTATATGCACAAATCTTAAAACATATAGATATACCCCATTATGTAAAGTACCTTATTCAGTTAAGAAGGCTAGTCCCACCAAACCTGTTAAATAAGATTTTCCTATATTATCTTTTGAGTAAATTGCCAACATCTATTTCTATAAAAATCCTTTTAGGAAAATGACTTTCATCTTCCTTCAGTACAAGACGAAAAATAACAATAATAATACAACTTTGGAACTTACGAGAACTTTAAAATACATGGCCAGGTGCAGTGGCTCACACCTATAATCCCTGCACTTTGGGAGGCTGAGGCAGGTGGATCACCTGAGGTGGGTAGATCACTTGAGGTCAAGAGTTCAAAACCAGCCTAGCCAACATGATGAAATCTCATATCTACTAAAAAAATAAAAATTAGTCAAGTGTGGTGGTGGGTGCCTGCAATTCCAGCTACTCAGGAGGCTAAAGCAGGAGAATCACTTGAACCTGGGAGGCAGAGGATGCAGCAAGGCAAGATCACACCACTGCCCTCCAGCCTGAGTGACAGAGCGAGACTTGGTCTCCACAAAAACAAAATAAAACAAAACATTAACTCTGAATATGAAGTGTGACAAAGCCAAAGGGAGTTACAATTTCTTAACCCTAAGTGGCACTGTTCTGCCTCTGGCACAGAAGGAAAAAAAAAAAAAAAGATGAACTATAGAGAAGATAAAAGTAAACAAGGGAGTAGGGCCTGGTGTGGTGGTGGCTCACGCCTGTAATCCCAGCACTCTGAGAGGCTGAGGCTGAGAGATCACTTGTAGTCAGGCATTTGAGACCAGCCTGGCCAACATAGCGAACCCCCCCCCCCCCCCCCCCCCCCCAAAACACAAAAAATTAGCCAGGCATGGTGGCACATACCTGTAATCCTAGCTATTTGGAAGGTCGAGGCAGGAGAATCACTTGAACCCAGGAGGCAGAAGTTATAGTCAGCCAGGACTGCGCCACTACACTCAGCCTGGGCATCATAGTAAGACTCTTTTTCTTTTCTTTTTTTTTAAAAAAGGTAAAGGTGGCCAAGAGCAAGGAAAGAAACTTAAGAGAAAAAACAAACAGGAAGTTGACAAAATGTATTGGAGCTGCTAGAGATATTACTGGCATAAGGTCTATAACCCAGTTTCCTATCTGAATCATCTAGAGAGGATTCTGGTGATTAGGAACACACTTCCAATACAACATCTCCAAATGCCAATGAAGCAATATTTTTATGAGTATCTTTATTTTCCCCGAGTCCACCTAGAAATCATCTATAAATCAAAACACAGGGAAATTAACTACTTTTAGCTACCTGTGAGGACACCTTTCCAGAGGTGACTGTGAAGTATGCAACCATTTAACAATGAAGGGATACCACATTCCACTTTAGAGGCATTACCCTGTTCATCCTCAGAGTTGTTCTCTACCAGAGCCTCAGTTCTTTCTGATTGCTTGAGCTGCCCGAGTCAGAGGTGAACTGTTGAAAGCCCTTCGTGGGCTCAGTTCTGGGAAAGAATTGTTCTAGATGTACATACTGGACTACAGTACAAACCAACCCCTAGACAGGTAACTTATAGAACCTTAACAAGTAATGGCTACACAAACTTAGCACACTTTGAATACATAGGAACCAATACATATTCATGGATAATTTATCATCTTTCTGTTTAGTCTCCTTCATTTCTGTTCTCCCCAAAGACTATTTCTTATCATTCTGAAATCAGACACACCCCATTATGTTCACCACACTGTTGCACACTTCCGTTCCTCCACCTGAATGCCTGGCTCATGTTTCTCTACCAGGCCAACTAACTTTTGCTTAATCATCCTCCAAAACTCAGCTCATGAACTTGGTAAGAAAAGCTTCCCTCACCCCCCTATATGGCCTTTTTTGTTCCATCACCACAGGCATTCTTCCAAACAGGACAGTTGCTCTTATACTTTACTGGTATTTATTTCTCTTGAGAATATACCATCTCTTATTAACCCTCAGTATTCTCAGACCTCTCTCAGTACCTGCCTGCACATAGCAGTTACTGAAAAAGATGTTTGACAAAGATTTTCAACAGATATAAAGTAACAAAACACCATCTATCAAAAATCATATACACATACATATACACTCTAGCTCTTCATTCTACATTCTCTTATTATTGTTTATTATGAGCATTTCTTAGCTTGTACTTGAGAAAAGAGACTATTTTACTTTAAATACATCTTTTAATGACTTAGTACATGGTTAGGCTTGTAAGATAGACTTAAAAAACATAAAAGGGGGAATATGATCACATGGCATGAAATGAACATTTGCATGCTGTCAAATACATTTTAAAATATATGTATCTATATCCAATACCATCCTATATTTACAAGAAATCTATGAATATGAATAGAAACAGCACAATTACTTAAAAAAGGAAATCTACATCAGGCTTTAGTGTTTTCAAAGTACTTTTGGATATTACCTCATTTGAGAGTAGGAAAACTGAGGCTAAGAGAATAAGTGACTTGCTAATACTGAGGATCAAGGCCTTTGGAATTCAAATACCATGTGCTTTACACCATTCCATTTTCCTTCCATTAAACCAATAACCTCAAAATGCCAGTTTAAAAAAAAAAAAAGTGTATATATGAAACAAAATGAATGTAATAAGTCAGAACAAAGAAAAAACACTAACAATACGGTTAACATAATCAGTGCTGAAAATGAATGGAAACAGAAACCAATGACTATGAATCAATAATAAACAGTCCAGCACAGTGAAACCTCAGTAGAACAGGATAAGGTTCCTGATATGACAAGTGAAATAACCACGAATTAGTTAATATAACACATCAAATACTAATGGGGTGACAGTAAAGCCATAAACAAAGTTCTGAAAAGAACAAGATTTGTGTATGTAAAATTAATTTACCATAGAAGACTTGAATAGGGCTTTGAAAAACACATGGAGGCAGGCTAGCATAATGTTGAATTGAGACTGGAAAAAGTCTGTATTTAAAGCTCAGTTCCACCACCTGAGCAAGTTGCTTAATGACTCTTAATTTCAGTTCTTCATCTGCAAAGTAACAATGAATTTCTCTCTCAAGAGTGCCTTGCAACCAGCACGGAGCCTGTACTAAAGGCTATACAAATGTAGATTCTTCTGCCTTCCCAGGCAGGAAGATGACAATTAGACACAAGGCTACAAATATGCTTCCAAGACCTGTTAGAATACATAGAAGTTGTTCTAAGCCATTAAAGAAAGATCAATATACAGGCCACTCTGTGCCAAGAATCTAAATGAAACTACTTATATATTATAACTATAGTGAAGGCAGAAAGGAATGGTCTGCATACCTAACAGTAGTTAAATGTAAATTAAATATGTTAAAAAAAAATGAATTGCAAACTGTGTTTAGTGACTTGGGTAAATGTTTTTATTATTTTATTTCATCATCCACATCACTGTTACCTCACCAATCAAAAGAGGTATTAAGGGACCACAACATGATAATTATTTAACACATTACTACATTTATAAATCAAGGTAGTGTGAAACATAGCCATCACAAATAAAAGTAGAGTTAACAAAAGGTCTACCTAACTGTAGCCCTTAAAGGTGAATGCTGTAGTAGAGCCACTTTTACGGGTAATGAAAGAAAAAAGTACTATGATAGCTCATGGAGAAAAGATAGCATATGAAAGTTAAGTCTTACAAAAGGACTACTAACTAAACCTATAACATAATACTTGAAGCAGTTAAGGTCAAAGTATAATTTTTAAAAGTATCACCAAATATAAACTATTTACTTTCATTAACCAAAGGAATATACTCAGGAATACAAGAAAACAACACAACTTGAAAGATCTCCAAAGTCCTAAAAGAAAATACAGACAACCTGAAAATTCTTATTGAATTCTTGACAAAGTATCAAAACACCCAATAGACCATTTGAAATAGTTACCTCAACCTGTTAAGCCCTTAAAACCCAGAGAAAATGGGTTAACTTTAAAATACAATATATCACAGTTATACTATAATAAATCCATGGGGATGGGCTTCAAAATTTTTTATAAGATGCATCTGACTATAAACCATACATAACAAATTTGTGTGAACATGTAGAAATGAGAAAATAATACTACCATTAAGCAAGGCAGCACTAAAAGTTGATTTAAGTTCAAAAACCAAAGTATAGTTTGAGATATTGGACTGGCTATATTTTTTTGAAAAGGGACATTAGAAGAAACTAGAATATCTCTTCTAACAATGTTTAAGACATGGTATTTAAATATACAAACACAAAGCCACATCAAAATCTTGCCTAGTATACACTGATAGAATAAAAAATATAATGTACATCGAAGAGATTATGGGAAGATCAGACATTCTTTCAGAAAGAGGTGCCGAATACAGGAGAAGAAAAGATCCAAACAAAGAATAACTGATATGCTAACAACATCAAAAGGACATGGTTGGGCTGTGACCACTTCCAGATACATCCCACAGGAAGCAAACAAAATTTCCAGTAATAAGTTATCTCAATGGTACCAAACACTTCTAAAGTTTTCATTACAACAAAAATCAAGTAAATGAAAAGATAAAGAAGTACAAATATCTCCCACTAATAAGATAAGATTTAATAAAACAATATTCTCTTCATCCATCCAGGAAGGGAAATTTCATAAAATAATATTTTAATGGTTTATAAAACTCAATATATCTGGAAAAATAATAAAAAGATTTGCATTCAATACAATAATCATGATAACTTCCACCTATATATTTTCTTAGTAAAAAATAAAGACTGGTTTGTGTATCTACTATGATAAACCATACAGAATTGATCTAGTCAATTGAATCACATGCATAAGATGCATACAGATGAGACAATCAATTACTGGACTAGCCACTAACATTAAGTACAGAATGGTAAATTCCAAAAGGCAAGAGAACCTAAACAGTGCAAGACTGTGGCAAAATACGCCTCACATAAATAAAAGATTTCACAGCTGGGCGCAGTGGCTCACGCCTGCAATCCCAGCACTTTGGGAGGCCGAGGAGGGAAGATCACCTGAGGTCGGGAGTTTGAAACCAGCCTGACCAACATGGAGAAACCCTGTCTCTACCAAAAATACAAAATTAGCCAGGCATGGTGCACATGCCTGTAATCCCAGTTACTCGGAAGGCTGAGGCAGGAGAATTGCTTGAACCCGGGAGGCAGAGGTTGCAGTGAGCACTCCATTGCACTCCAGCCTGGGTAAGAGCGAAATTCCATCTCAAACAAAAACAAAAACAAACCAAAAAAGATTTCACTTATTGCAATCTTTAAACGATTTCTACAAAGATCTAATCCACAATATCAAGCCTTCATCAGAATCCTAGTCAACTAGTTTTATCTTCAAGAATAATGAACGTCATGTCTATCCACATCAGTACCCAATTTTAGCAGACAAAGGGATTCTGGAATGTCTTTTTCAACCTCCTTGTTTACATTACCTGAGAGGTTATCCTGGCTGTATCAGGTCCTTAAGGACATTATCAATCAGGTCACTTAGGTATCACTCAGTAAATTATTAGTGTAGTATTAATACCGAATACTAAACAGTGTCCAAGTAGCCTGAAAGAGTTTATGCTCCCTTCAAAATGTCATTTTGAGGGCTAAGTAAATAAATGGAATTATACTGATAAAGAAGCTGCCACACAGTTTAAAAAAAAAAAAAAAAGAGTTTAAATGTAATTATACTGATAAGGAAGCTGTCATTCAGTCTTTAAAAAAAAAAAGAAAAAGATAAAGTGTCAGCAAATTTACTGCTTTTTAAAAATGCCCTTGCTTATTCTAACCAAGTAAACACATCCACTTATCAAATATAAGTTGTGTTACCATGGCTAAAAACAAGGTTAGATATGAGACAATCAGAAAACCTAGAACATATCTACAGAAAACAAAGCTGCCTTAGGCCCCCCAAAATTGGCCACTCATTAATAATGAAAAGGAACTACTGTCTAGTTAGTTAAATAAGGGGGAGGAAGGTATTCTACAACCTTCTGAAATGAATCAACAGTGCTATAAAGAAAACAAATTAACATTCAGAAGGGAGTACATTTAGATAGTGCAATTGTACAAATGACACAATAATAAAGTACAAGATTAAATCACTGTACAAAACTCACATAAATATCACCAGCAATATAGGCAAGACATCAAAGTTTAAGTTTTAAAGAAAAGGGTAGAATTTAAAAAGGCACTTCATATAAAAATGGAAACAGTACTTCTCTATACACAGTAACGACAAGAAACCATATTGTCTCTGTATACATTTTATATCTAATCAAGAAATAACATTTGAAGAAAAAAGATCATTAGATACATCCTTTTTGAGAATACCAGATCATTAAACTTGCAACGATTCCGAGGCCTCCTAGAAAACCTAGAGGTATTTAAACATTAGAGGCTGGCCTAGTAGAGAATTTTGCTACAGGCTCTGCACATGGCAGGCATAATATGAATATTTATTATCTGACTAATTAAGAGTTTCTGATTCTATTGGGGTCATCTCCCTAGACCAAATCCCCGCTTTAAGTTTTATAACATTATCATCATTCAAGTATGCCAGAGATTTTAAAATAATAAAAAATAAACACATTAAGGGTATTTCTTTTGCAGTGAAGAAACTAATCTATAGCTAAAAACTCTTCCTAATCTGCATTCTGCCCCCATCCCTATTAAACTTATCAAATCCTTTCAGAACTAGTTGGTCACCAATTTGATGATTTCCCAATACCTTTACACTTTGAGTAAAACAGAGTATTTGGAGATACTTGGGCATATCAGTGAGAGTAACTAAGAAAGGATACTTTTACTTAATTACTGAGCAACATAAATATCACAAGAGGAAAAGAGAACAGCAACATCATCCTACCAATACTTGAGAACAGAACTGTGCAACAATGTGAATATAGTCAACACTACCATAGGCTTAAAAAATGGTTAAGGTGCTAAGCTTTACATGTCTTTTTTTTAACCACAATTTAAAAGGCAAAGGGGAGGAGAAGCACACTAAAGGGAAGTGCCAAAATAGTTTCAGACAATCACATTTTCAGGCATAACTTATTTTGGTTTAGTTTAAGGTTTGAAATAAGGGTATTTCAAAAACCACCAAGTTTATGACACAGCATCTAATTCACGGAAGGAAAAGGGGAGAAATGGAAAGTAAAGAGTCTGAAGTAGCCTTAGCTAGTCAGGAACTTGCTAGCGGCAAATCCTCTAAGACAAAACTACAGTGCCAATATCAAGAGCACATGAGATTGCTTGATTGATGGAGCACACATAAGCTACAAAAATCTATGTATGATTTCTCAGGCCTTGGTTTCTTTTCAGGTAACCAATATTCTTCTAGAATTTGGTTTGAAAGACAGTTTGTAGAGAACACTGGCATGGACCTATTTCCACAGAAGCAGAAATAAAACTTTGTGTAAAATACAAAAGAAAATAAGGTAAATATTAATTCTTTATATGACTGGGCTAAATTTGCAAAATGACATCCTCTTTATTAAGAAAAGTTCAAGTTTAATCTACAAATAGGACAAACAAGACCAGTATCGTGAAGTTATCTGACAAAATAATTTCTTCCAAGTAGGAAAATTTATGCCTTCAACCACTGTAGCACAAATAAGGAAGAAAAGCAGATTTAAAAATGGATGCTGAATATGATTACAATGAGGCAGTAAGAAATGAGCTTCCAATAAACTATAAAAAAGTGTGGCACCAGAGAAAATGTCAATTACCACTGTGAAAGAACTATGGCAAGAAAAGAAACCACATAAACCATAAAATAGTGCCATATTCCCTTAGTAGTATACACAAAATGCCTTGATCAAGATTAAAAACTGCAGAAGTTATAGTATTAAGTTTGTCAATAAAAAGAAAAACAACTGTTTTTGGCTGCAAAGTAAATAATACTAGGTGATGTATTCAGACCCCTCAAACTTGACATATTCTCCATTCCTGATGTCATGCTGTGAAGACATGGATCTAAGGGCTGATATATCATACATCCACTACCTTGAGTCTAAAGAGAAGATACTGTGGGACATTTAATTGAGGTATCTGCTGCCAGTTCCAGTACGGTGAAAAACTATTACTGGGACCAATTGGGAGCAAAAAGATAAGCCATCTATTACACTAGGAGTCTGACTAAATTAACCGATTAACCAAGAATGTATCGCTTAAGTCTTGATTTCAGCCTTTCAAATCATTAATGGATATCATCACTTAGATATCCAGAAACAGAACTGTGTGGCTTGCTCTCTTCACTACATCCACAGCTATGCTTTAAATCTTAAGGATTCTCAATAAAATCTAGATGGATGGTATCCCTCTTTATGACAATAAGAGGACAAGATTGTCAGGCATGTTTGGAATTCTTGCTCTTAAGAGTTCAGATTTGCATGCCTGGATGGTGTAAGTAACATCCTTTATTTCCAGGGCACTGATGTGCATAACTTTTTTGAATTTAGAATGTGATGCACTATCAAGCTCAAAAGAATTACACGTCTAGAAGATAGGTCGTTTAAGAAGGCCATCTTGGTGAAAGGCCCAGCTTATGGTGAGAGACTACCATGACTCAGTCATACAGCTTGATATGAGAGCTTGATAGGTCAAAGATTATTAGGATTGATGACAACAAAGAATTCTCTCACATGGAGCTTTATGAGTAGTGATGGTATGGTGGCCATCAAAGTCTTGATGAAGATACTGTGCAATTTCTACAGAGATGTTACAGGTAGAAGTCTTTTTCCAATTGGTGTCCATAGTAGACCTGTGACATCTAGTCATTCCAAAGGGAAGCAAACTGCATTTGGCAAAATTTGATTTGAATTCTAGTTGACCCAAAGCTTCACGGCTGATTCTGAAGTCTCACAGAGCTTGATAGTAGTATGAACTCTTGGTGAGTTGACCATCTTGACATAAAGACATTGTAACAGATGTGTCATTTTGTGAGGATCTGTCAAACTGAACCCTGAACAAGGAAGCACTGATAACATAAAAATGAAGGATTTACTTCTGGTCTTAGTAAACAGAGATCTAGTATTAGGTTATTTCTAGATTCAAAATCTGCTAGTCCTCAGTTTACAAGTAAGATTTTCCTGAGGAACAGACCTTTATATTTTTCTTTAATCACAAGAGGATTCAGATTCCTGAGTGGTCCTCATCCAAACTTATTTTGGACCAGAAATAATGGATAAATATTTGTTCAACCCTCCTTTCAAGAAAGTCTCCACTGCTCACTTGGCCAATAAATCATGAGTCTCTTTATTATATATTTCATTTCAAAAGTCTAGAATTCAAAAGTCAGCTGTGATCATTCCAGACATGCACTCAGTTTTTTAGATGATTTCCTACCTGTAGATCCTGTTTGTACAGGAGGAACAAGTAAAATAGTTAAGATCTTGAATGACTATCCTGCTGAACATAACAGGTTATTAATTCTTATACCCATGGCGTTCTGGAGACTCTCCCTTCTTTCTGTATCTATAGGGGTGGTTTCGAGGTTTGTACCAATCCCCTTTGGAATATCCTCTGTTGTGATAATGTGCTTTCTGATCATGACTATAAAAGTATCGATGCTGATTATAGTATTTATTGTGATCTTTATAGTCATTTTCTTTTATACTGTTCTCTTCTGCAACAACAGCTTTTACATCTTGTCCAAAAAGGGAAGTACCATCAAAGGGCAAGTGGGAGATCTTCTCCTGGGTTTTCTTAGTGAGAGATGTAAGTCGAAGCCAGGCCTGCCTTCTGTAGTCTATGGCCATGGCCATAACTCTGACTACAGAATCCATTATGTCCCTAGTAGTACAAAGTTGCCAAAGGCCTGCATCCATACCATCAGATATAATGCATCTTGCTTTTCCACGATCAAACTCTGGGTCATGAACCAGATCTTCCATGTCTTCCCAGAGTTTACGCTGATATTGAGTCATATAGGCCATGTAGCTAGCAGCTCGAGCTGCAATTGAGGCAGCATGGTAAAATCTACAACCCATGACCTCCATTTCTTTTGAGGTAGAATCTAGAGGGGATGTTGTGTTTCCTCTTTTGCTGTGTTCTAATGCTTCTACAATGGGGCCTTCAGCTGGTGGGTTTGGTTGGAAAGGAGAGGTGTCCTTGGCCACAGGATATACTCTGTGTCCCATGAAGGAAGAAGGATGACAATCAGCAGGGTCTTTAAAAACCTCAGTGGTGGCAATTCTCAGAAGAGGATGCAATGGAGGAACCAAACGTTTTTTAGAGGTCACACAATCAGGTTTCCCTTCACATGATTCCGCTTCTGATTGTAATGTCACCCTTTTTATAACACCTCTTTGTTCCATTCTCTTCAAAAGACCCGTGAAACTAGATTGGCTGGGGTCAGATGGCTGCCCTTTGTCATCAGCTGATGGTGATTTGTAATCAATTTCTTCTTCAACTGTGGATAAATTTTCCTCCTTAGAGGTGGAGATGTCCCAAGGAACTGAGGAGTTCTCATTTGGCCTAGAATGATGAAATCTAAAACAGCTCCTGGACTGCAGATCACGTATCACTCGGGACATCTCAGCTACTTGTGTCTGGAGATAGAGGATGGCATCCTGTCCATGCTGTGAAGCTGAAGAAGAATCTATATGTAAATTCTCTTTGACCTCAGAAGAGGCCAAAGATTCCTGGGGGACCAGAAGTGGAGATGAAGGCAGAGTGTGAAAATTCTGAGATGATTTTAGGGTCTGTGTCTCAGAGATCTTAGTATCTGAATTATTTTGATCATTTTTCTGGTTCTCCAATGGGTTCTCAACAGAGGAAGTTTGAGAAACTATCCTTTCTGGACTGCTGGAACAACTCCCAGAGAAGGAGCTGCTATCTCCAATGGGAAGAGGAACATTGCAGCTAGCGCACATTTCTGGGCGATGATTCTCAGAGGATGGCACCTTAGATTCAGGCATTCTCTGGGTTATCCACATGAACAAGAAAACCAAGGAAGAAAAAAAATACGCTTTTAATATGTTAACTTTCAAGTGCAGAGATTCATGTCCAGTAAGTAGAACTCAATTTTTAAATTATTATAATTAACAATGAAAGGTACAATCCACTCAAGGTCAGCAAAAGGAATCAGAGAAGTCAAATCCACAAGCTTCACTACCCCAAAGACCCAATATCCCAATATCAACTATTGGCATTAATCTGGGACTCTGTTTACAAGAAAGGAGAGTGTAAAAACAAGCTCAGCTCATGTGGTGCTACCCTGGCCTGCTGTTTGGTCCCGTGTTAGTATAAGAATAAGTGCTGAGACCACTCATAGGAATAAAAGAAAAAAACATTCCATTCAAGATATGTAAGTTCTATTCAAAATACGCAAGAAGCTAATGATGGCAGAGACAACTTAAGGAAAGTTCCACTGAGAAAAAAAAAAAAAATCTAAAACTCCCCCATTAGAGTCATTTTTAAGCCCCTTTGAAAATTCTGTCATTCATTCTACATGAATAACAAAATTTTCCAGTTGTAATAGTCCGACTTTACGTTGGGTGGTTATACAGAGTTATAATTTGTTACCTCATTTCACCCTCACAACAACCCTGTGAGGTAGGTATTATTCCTATTTGATTAAAAAACGGAGATTAAAAGGTTACTTAATTTATCCAAAGTCACAGAATTTGTAAAGAGTAAAGCTGGGACTCAAACCCAGATATTCTGATTTCAAGTCCAGGTCTCAATACCCTGTATCACAGAGCAAGAAGCTTTGTGGTCGCTTTGAACAATAACTAAGAGTTCTCTAATCCAACAAGAAAACAGCCCATTAACAGAAGTTTGAGCTAAAACAAGGACAAATGAAAGGCAAGACTGCTACAAAGGGCTCAACTAGTTCAATTCTCAGAGCAAGGGAAGTATTGTTCCTAGGGTCAAACCCACAACCAGTACATCACAGGTAAGATAACTCCAAATATGTGGGGCACAGACAAGGTTCAAGGGATGACGACTGAAGTCATATATTTCCTATAAACCCTTCTCACACTTTCCATTGCTTAAAGGATCTTTACATATCCTTTTTCCTAAGATAAAACAAATTTTCTGTGGTCATGTGGCTCTGGAACAAAAGAATCCAGTATTATAGGGTACCTGAGGAAGAATACAGGAAAAGAGAAGGGAAAGAGGAATCAATTAAGCTTGAAGTTTTTATTCCATTTCCCTTTTATCAGATATCACCTCTAAGGCTTACCATTTCCCAGTCATATTATCATTTTTTCATATCCTCACCCAAAGTAGAAGAAAAAAACTAGAAGTAGGAGATCTGGGCAAAGGACTCCTTGGACTACCTATTTTAGCCCATTCTAATAGAACTCGCTATTTCTAAACGGCCATCACTGATTTGATAACTCTCTTTACAGAATACCTCTTAAAAGACACAACTGAAGAAATGCAAATCAAATGTAATGTACTTACATCTGTATGAGAGGTGCTAGGCTCTTCATCATCACTGCTGACTAGATCAATGTATTCAAGAACAGGTCGTAATGGTCCTTCCTATAAAGGATAAAGCAAATTTACAAGTCATGAACAGTTATTCAAACCAAACTAGCATTTAAAACTACCAGTGTTTTTTTGGTTGAGACTGGCAAGAATTATTCTGAAGAGGCAGATTTACAGATTGCAGAAAAAAAACAGAACAAAAGCAGCAGAGGAAAATACGCAAAATACATAAATGTAAAATGATGACAAGGAAGGACCTAAGCCCCTGTAGAATGAGGGCCATGTCAATTACTTAAGAAAGGAAAATTAATACAGAAACAGTACTACAATGATACAGATATTATAATCCAGTGCTTTACACCTAGAATGGGTATCCAAAGTCTGTTAATATATCCAAGTTTAAAAATGAATTATTTGACTAACAGCTGAGCTTCATCACCCCACCACTGCAGAGTCAAGCATCAAACCTGAATTATTCTCCATTCTTTCTTTCCATCCATACCAATTTCTTCATTGACCAGGCCTTGAATGTCAGGCTTAAAAGCCTAGATTTTATTCCAAAGGCAAAGAAAATCAAAAATAATAATAAGTGAATAGCATAAGAACTGTGTTTCAAGAAGACCAATCACATAGAGGAGTATGGAGAGCAGGGAAAGCCAGATAATTAATCAGTGTAGGCACAGGATAATGCAGAACTAACATGATGATAGCAAGAAGAGTATAGTAGTGGGCATATAAGAGAATACAAGTAAAATGGAAAGCTAAAAAAGACTGATTATTAGGCCATGTCCAGTGGCTCACACCTATAATCCCAGCACTTTGGGAGGCCAAGGCGGAAAATCATCTGAGGTTGGGAGTTCGAGACCAGCCTGGCCAATACAGTGAAACTCCATCTCTATTAAAAATTCAAAAATTAGCCAGGTGTGGTGGTGCGTGCCTGTAGTCCCAGCTACTCAGGAGGCTGTGGAAGGAGAATAGCTTAAACCCGGGAGGCAGACGCAGAGGTTCTGTTTCAAAAATAATAATAAAAATAAATAAATAAAATAAAAATAAATAAAGATTATTTAAAACAAAACAAAGAGTCAGTTATCTGTAAGGTTTTAAGCTCGGATGACTACAAGAATAGTAATGCCATTAGCATAACTCTAGAAAGCAGAAACAGAAAGCTGACATTCCTATGGGCTGAAGTAACAGTGGTACACAGGGGTACCTAGCAGACAGCTGGAAATGCAGGCCTCTAATCTGGGAAGTACGAACATACCCGGAAATAAAAATTTGAGAGCTGTTCCCCTAAAAGACTATTAAACTCTAAAGCTAAACTGAACTATTATATCGCCTCAATGAACAGCTGTCAATGTAAAATGTGGCCAGAAACATATCAACAAGAAAATGCCATTGAATGTGGCAACCGGACATTTTTAAATGTCTTTGAGAGCACAACTTTCAAGAAAGTAGTGAGCACAGAAGTCTGGCTCTAAAACATTAGAGAATGCAGTAGAAAAGGCCATATTCTTTTGGGAAATCCAACGTAAGAAACAAGAGAAATGAACACAGGAGAAGAAATAATGGTTGAGGAAAGGATTTTGTAGGATTGTAGAAAGCTGACTGTTGGAGACAGAAGCTGAGATCTAGGTAATGATCTTCTTCCCTATAAGAGGCATCCAGTCTCAAAGATAGCTTCTTTCACCCCTAGGCTATGACTTCTGCTCAACCAAGAAACTGCCATCTTTTGGGTACTAATTCAGACACCAAGATAAAACAAGAGGGCAAAATTGGGCAGAAATCTATAACAATGAATTGGAATTTTTACTCAAACTGTAAAGATGGAAGTAAAAAATAAAGGATCCGACAAACCAATACTCTCCCAATACATGGTCAAAAGAGCTGAATCACCTACTTTAAAACTAAAATCTATACCTGGTATGAAGAATGTCAGCTGGACACAGTGGCTCACCCCTGTAATCCCAGCACCTTGGGAGGCCAAGGCAGGTAGATGACTTGAGGTCAGGAGTTTAAGACAAGCCTTGCCAACATGGTGAAACCCGTCTCTACTAAAACTAGAACAATAAGCCCGGCATGGTGGTGGGCGCCTGTAGTCCCAGCTACCCAAGAGGCTGAGGCAGAAGAATCGCTGGAACCCAGGAGGCAGAGACTGCAGTGAATGAGATGGCGCCACTGCACTCCAGCCTGGACAACAAAGCAAGACTCTGTATCAGGAAAAAAAAAAAGGAATGAAATTGTATGTTCAATCCAAGAAGAAAACAGAGGAGAATAAAATATGACAGCTTTTCCCATTGATACAAGCCCCTTACTTTGTTCTCTTCAAGAAATATCCATTAGGAACCTTCATTATGGGCCCACAGAAATAGTAAACCACAAAAGTCCCCGGGGAATCAGAAATACACAGAGGCAGAGTTACCATGCACAGAAAATAAAGAGGAAATGAAAAGTGACAGGATGCAATATAAAAAGTAAAATGGACTGGAAAAAAATAAGAAAAATGGGCTGACACAGAAGCTCACGCCTGTAATCCCAGCACTTTGAGAGGCTGAGGCAGGCAAATTACATGAGGTCAAGAGTTCAAGACCAACCTGGCCAACACAGTGAAACCTGTCTCTACTAAAAGTACAAAAAATTAGCCGCATGTGGTGCTGGGCGCCTGTAATTCCAGCTACTCAGGAGACTGAGGCAGGAGAATCACTTGAATCTGGAAGGCAGAGGTTGCAGTGAGCTGAGACTGTACCATTGCACTCCAGCCTGGGTGACAAGAGCGAACCTCCACCTCAAAAAAAAAAAAAAAAATGAATAAAAGAAAATGATCAAAAACCGAATTTAAAATTAGCTGCAGACCAGGTACAATGGCTCATGTCTGTAAGCACTTTGGGAGGCCGAGGCGGGCAGATCACATGAGGCCATGAGTTTGAGACTGGCTGGACTAACATGGCAAAACCCTGTCTCTATTAAAAATACAAAAATTAGGCCTGGCGCAGCAGCTCACGCCTATAATCCCAGCACTTTGGGAGGCTGAGGTAGGCAGATCAAGAGATCAAGACCATCCTGGCCAACATGGTGAAACACCATCTCTACTAAAAATACAAAAATTAGCTGGGCGTGGTGGCATGCACCTGTAGTCCCAGCTACTCGGGAGGCTGAGGCAGGAGAATTGCATGCAACTGGTAGGCAGAGGTTGCAGTGAGCCGAGATCCCACCACTGCACTCCATGCTGGCGCCTGGCGACAAAGCAAGACTCTGTCTCAAAAAAAAAAAAAAAAAAAAATTAGCTGGGCGTGGTGGTGCATATCTGTAATCCCAGCTATTCAGGAGGCTAAAGAACAAGAAATGCTTGAACCCGGGAGGCAGAAGTTGCAGGGAGCTGAGATCACACCAGTGCACTCCAGCCCAGGTGACAGAGGGGAACTCTGTCTCAAAAAAAAAACAGCTACAGTAGTATTCAAAGGGCAGGAGTAAGGACAGATAAGCTTATCAGAAATTTATTCTGTGGTGAACCACTAAACTGATATGCAAACATTTTTTAACTACCAAAGAACAATAATTCAGGATTCACACTAATTAAGAGAAAAGGAAATTATGAATAGAAAATACAGACAGGCATGGTAGCTCACGCCTATAAACTCAGCACTTTGCGAGGCCAATGAGGGAGAATCACTTGAGTCCAGGAGTCTGGCCTCACCTTAGGCAAACGAGTCAGACCTCACTCTATAAAAAATATTAGCTGGGTACAGTAGTGTGTGCCTGTAGTCCCAGCTATTTGGGAGGCTGTGGAGGCAGAACTGCTTGAGCCTAGGAGTTCAAGAATGCAGTGAGCTATGATTAAGGCACTGCACTCCAGCCTGAGCAACAAGAGTGAGACCCTATCTCCTAAAAAAAAGTATCACAGAAAATCCAACATTGAGAAAAAGCATAAGTCATTTACAATACTTATATATTCAACAAAGAAATTACTGAGCTTTAAGTGACAAAGAAGAATGAGAAGAGGAATCATGCTGAAAATCACTAAAATGGCAAAAAGATTGAGTGGAAAAATAAGGACAGACATGTGCTCCAAAGGAAAAGATTACTTATACACAGTGTACACTTTAGCTAATTTTCACAGTGGATATGAAAACACTTCCGTCTCTTCCGGTCCTAGGCGCTTCGGGAACTGCGGCTTAGGTGCAGACATGGCCAAGTCCAAGAACCACACAACACACAACCAGTCCCGAAAATGGCACAGAAATGGTATCAAGAAACCCCGATCACAAAGATACGAATCTCTTAAGGGGGTGGACCCCAAGTTCCTGAGGAACATGCGCTTTGCCAAGAAGCACAACAAGAAGGGCCTAAAGAAGATGCAGGCCAACAATGCCAAGGCCATCAGTGCACGTGCCGAGGCCATCAAGGCTCTCGTAAAGCCCAAGGAGGTTAAGCCCAAGATCCCAAAGGGGGGTGTCAGCCGCAAGCTTGATCGACATGCCTGCATTGCCCACCCCAAGCTTGGGAAGTGTGCTCATGCACGCATTGCCAAGGGGCTCAGGCTCTGCCGGCCAAAAGTCAAGGCCAAGTCCAAGGACCAAAACAAGGCCCAGGCTGCACCTCCAGCTTCAGTTCCAGCTCAGGCTCCCAAAGGTGCCCAGGCCCCTACAAAGGCTTCAGAGTAGATATCTCTGTCTGCCAAAGTGAGGACAGAAGGACTGGTGCGACCCCCCGGGGGCTGCCATCTGCATGGGGCTGGGGTCCTCCTGTTCTATTTGTACAAAGAAACATGAGGGAGGAAAAAAAAAAAACAAAACACTTCCATGAAAATGAGCGTACGGAAGTAAAACATTTAGTGCTCCATTTATTTTACTAAGAATCAATAACATTTATTGAGCCCTGTACCATGCCTTGTGCAAAGCTTTTCACGTACATTATTTTACTTAATCTCCAAATTGCTTTGCAAGGTGAGATACTGAATTATTATTATTATCCCATTTAACAGATGGGAAAACTGAGTGAGTTACACTTGGTTCTCTAAACACAACTGGCTGTATAGTCACTATAATTGTGAGGTAGTTCAAAGCATAAATACTATTTTTAAACCAATGTTTATACCTAAGTTTCTGAAATAACATTTTTTCTTCCTTCCTTAAGATAAAATGGAGCTCTATTGCCCCATCTCTGAATACTTTGTAACAATGATAAAAAATAAATTACCAATTTCTCAAAAGAAGTTATGTTTATAATAAAAATATCAAGAAAAAATAATTTCTTGTAATATTTATAATTACTTATATCTTTAACAACTATAACTGCACATGGTCCTTTAATTACAAGGTATTACTTGCATTTGTTCTATCCATCAACTAGTAAACCATCATTTTCAACCCCCGTTGTACCACTAACAAAAATTAAAGGATTCTAAGCTGGGCATGGTGGAGTGCACCTGTAGTTCCAGCTACTCAGGAGGCTGAGGTGGGAGGGTTGCTTAAACTCATGACTTTCAGACTGCAGTAAACTATGATCACACCACTGCACTCCAGCCTGGGCAAGAGTGAGACCCTGTCTCTAAAATAAAAATTAAAAATTAAATAAAAATAGAATTAAAAAATTAAAGGATGCTATGCCAAATACCACACAACACAGGGACAGAGGCACATGTAGAAGCATGGCAAAACAGTTTAGAAAAAGTTAAACTAATATTTTAAGTTTTGAAATATTTTTAATGAAATAAAAAGCTTTCATTCCTATTATCAGAAAACTAATTCTCTAAGCCAAAACACCAATCTCCTCCTAATTGGAAAGACATGTCAATACACCAAAATATGGTCTACTAAAAAAGTAGTTTACTACAACCAAGTTTTCTCTAAAACAAAGGATATGGATTCGAGCATAAATCTAAAACCCTAAATAAGTCATCATGTTTTTCCCATACAGAGAAGTTAGGTACACAGCTTACTTGCCTGACAGACAACATTTCAAACAGTTTCCAACTGTGCCTATTTTATAGTTCAAATTTAATCCAGCACTTAAGATCTACACCATCTGGCCCATACCTCCTTCTCCCACTTTAAAAGAGCAAACAAAAAAAATCTTTCAGAACCACACATAATCCTCTCTGCTTTCCCATTCTAATGCCTTTCCTTGTTTCTTCTACTCAAAATGTCCTTTTAAACATGTAAATACTACTACTTATTACTACTACTAACTACTACTACGATAAACTGCAAGTCTTATGTCCTTTTTTTAACATTACTATGTACTTTCTGCAAAATAACTTTCTAGTATCTCTAAGGACTATTTACATACGTCTCACCTCTTATCTGATCATTGACACTAAAATACTGATCCTTAAGGGTAGAATGTATAATCTTTGTAGCTCCAAGGAACTTAATTCATGGCTTTGCATATTATGAGCTTCAACACTATTTTTATTTATTGAACCAATCACATCCCCAGGACACCAAGAGAAATAATTCTATTTTCTGCCTGACTCTCTTCTACTGCACCTGAAGTATTAATACTCTACCTATGCAGTACTGAAGCTATTTAGGAAATTATATCCTGATTTCAGGATTTTGAAATTTCCAATAATTCTATACTATATCAATAATCTTAGCTGAAACCTGAATCTCTTGCATTGTTTTGTTATCAAAATTAGGATAGGTTCCCTCAGCAGTTTTTATACCTTTATATCTAGAATAGCTCTGTGAACTATCACATAATCAGCTATTAGTTTTTTAGAAGTGAATCAGATAAAATATCTGCAATTTCAAGGAAAGATATAAAAATAGTAGTAGAATAAAGGGTATCACTAAACAGAAATAAGAACAAAAGACCTAAATGAGAAGTTTTTGTTATGGCAGCATTATGTTTCCTGATTTAGGTGCTGTTTACACAGGTATGCAGGCTTTGCAAAAATTTATCAAACAAGTAGACTTATGAATTGTGTACTTTTATGTATATTTCAATAAAATTTAAATGAGAGGGTCCATTTTTGCACCTTCCCTCCATATCTATATCACTCCTTTCCTTCAGCATGTTGTGTTTAGTTCAGATTCTGTATTCTGCAAATCCCAGAATGACTGCTGTGCCACCAAGTGGATTACAAGTGGGAAAATTAGATTAGTAAGAGCTATGAAATCCAAACTGTAAAAATGAAGACAGCACTCATTTTTTATCTGAAGAACTCAAACTTTTTCATCTTTACTGAATAAGCATTGCTGACTGGAGGAGTCACATATAAGACAGGATTCCAAGAGAAGCAAAGATTCTGTCTCTGAATATTACTTTGAAATATAATTAAGCTATTGTTATTTAAGTGGTGCCACTTAAATGTAAAGGGAAAATTTTTAATAGGCTTCTTCTAGTATTGTAATTGCACTTAAAACATATAATTCACTTCTCCATGTGGAGCTGTCAAACCTTTGAATCTTTATTTGGGAACAAGAGTAAGAAGCTGCATCAGCTGCATCATGTTGGATACTCAACGACTGTACATTCTTTATTCCTGATGCAAAGACAGACGTGATCCTCTACATTCAAAATAAAATTTACAATAAAAAACTCCTTTAAACCAAGGCTGAACTCAAGCCTACATTAACAAGTCACAAGCTACACTGTAATTCGTTACATAAATTATATTTTAAATCTTAGAGATTCTACTTGTGTTTCTCAAAGGGCCATAGTTCATAAAGAAGTATGTCATTCCTTGTATTATTTCTACTAAACACTATGAGATAAACACACTGTTCACAAATATGCCAAGGTTCAGGAAGAACCTGAAATATTTGTCCTAAAGAGCCATGCAATCTTGTTATTAAACATACTTCAGCCCATGGTGAAGGAAAGGGCAGGATACAATTCATCCCCATCCTCTACCTAAAATCCGTAGAAGTTCAAAATAAGAAGGAATACAATATACACTGGTAAAGGGAAAGAAATTCAAGAAAACAATCTCGGCCGGGTGCGGTGGCTCAAGCCTGTAATCCCAGCACTTTGGGAGGCCGAGGCGGGTGGATCACGAGGTCAAGAGATCGAGACCATCCTGGTCAACATGGTGAAACCCCGTCTCTACTAAAAATACGAAACATTAGCTGGGCATGGTGGTGCGTGCCCGTAATCCCAGCTACTCAGGAGGCTGAGGCAGGAGAATTGCCTGAACCCAGGAGGTGGAGATTGCGCCATTGCACTCCAGCCTGGGTAACATGAGTGAAACTCCGTCTCAAAAAAGAAAAAAAACAAAAAAAAACAATCTCGTGAAAGACTCCTAAACAAACCTATTAAAACACCACACAAAAACGAACTATTAAATGGGCCTAACGCTGGGGAAGAAACTTTTTAATAACCAGTTTTACATGGTTTCCCAACATCCACCCACAAATGCACATCAGACACTCAAAGGAAAATTCTACAGCTTGAATACCAAACTGCAACTAACTACAGCATTCCAAAAGAGGAGTTTAGGACAGAAGTATTTTCTGCCTAGCGAGCTGAGATACCACTTTACGCAGAGCTTTTCTAAAACTCCCATCATTATGGATGAAAATCACCCCAAAATATATCATAAAATACTCCCTTCTGCTATAGAAACCAATGCTTTACAAAGTGTGCTCAGAAATCCCTCTGTCCCTGCATTTGTCCGAAAATGAAGATTCCTAGGCCACACCTTGAAATTCTCATTCGGTAGGTCTGCAGTGGGGTCCAGGAATCTGCCTGTTTACATTTACTAAGGCTTAAAAACTACTGTCCCAAAGGGAAGAAACTCAGAAAAATAAAGCATGTTCCCAGTGATGTAGGATTCTGCCTTATGAGCATCAATCGTACTATGCTGTAACATGATGATCTCAGAGCTCAGCGAAATCTTCAAGCTATTTGCCTTCATGTTACCAGCACCATAACGCTAAGACTCTGGGTTCTCGAAACCCTTCCTGTTTTCTCTGTCCTTGCTCATCATTAGCAGCTCCTTCCTCCATGTCGCCTTTAGAAGTTACTCTTTGCTCCATTTCTAAACAGCGACTTAGAAGCCAGCGTTTTATCTTAAGTCTACATGAAAGGCAGGGGGCGAGATTAAGTGAACAGCACGTTCTTTAGACCATGCTCTTTGTGATGGCTACAGGGAGGGCTCAGATACCTCTTTTGGTAAATTTCCCAATCCTGTGCCATGCTCCATAGCGTCTAGTATGTATTAGACACTCAAACATTAGTTAAATGACCAGGTGAGGAAAATTACATAATGGCCCACCATAGTCTTTAACTCTGGGAAAAACCCAATCATCAGTTGCTACTTACACTGACAAACTGAATGTCGTCCTCATTTTCATCCGTTGTTGACTCAGATGCCTCAGGGCCAGCTGGAGGAACAGATTCTATTATCTATAAAAACAAGCCAAAACATGCTTATCTATTCAGCCACATAATTGGAGGAAGAGAGCTTTTCCGAAAGGAACAACTAAAAACAAAGAGCTCTCGAGGAAAACGAACTGAGCACAATTTCACGCAAACCCCACTAGGAGCAGATCTCGGAGTCGGCTCTGGCCACAGCGTGTGCGGAGCTGCAGGGACCGACCGCCGAAAACGCGTTACCAGCCTCTCAGAATTCCCCTTATCAACTCCAGAAGGAGGGACGCAAGCTCACTACCGCAAGGCAATGCTGCCTTAAAACGTCGCTCTCACCGGCCCAGCCGCGGCCACAGCGAACGCCCGGGCCCGTGCGGGGGGCCGGGCGGCCATTGTTGCTGCGGGTTCCTCGCTCAGACACGCACCAGGCCCCAGAGCAGGGCTCGGCCCAAGACGCTGAAGAGGTATCGCCCCGAGGCTGCGGCGGAGCACCAGGCCTCTGACCGCAGAAAACACAAACCCTTCGCGGTTCGCCTCTGAGAACGCCAGGGCCCTCACTCGACTACTCACCTCCGACCCCGGCTCTCCCATTTCTCCGAGGGCCGCGCTGACAGCACCACCGCTTCTGCAGTCCCTGTCCCTGCCGCCGCCGCCGCCGCTGTCCCCGCCGCTGCGGCCGCCACGACTCCTCTTCCCGCCCTGCACCGCCTGGCGCTACCGGGACCCGCCCCTGCGTGAGCGCCGACGCCACCGGCGGAAAGAGACGCAAAACCGCTTCAAAGGAGGAGAGGCCCTCACTGGCCCGCTATCCCCCGGAGCCTCTTTCTCTCATTCTCAGGCTTCCTGCCCCGCACCGCGCAGAATGCTGGGAATTGTAGTTCGGGTCGACCCTGAGACCGCCCCGCGCCGAGGGGGAAAGGAGAGGAAAAGAACCTAGAGGTTAGGCGCATGCGTTGCGCCTAAAAGATGCCAGCTGCGGTGGAGCGTAGCCGGGGCTGCTGGGTTCTGTGGGACACAGAAGCGCAGGGAAGATGTGGGAGGATATGAGGGAGGGTTTGGGTTGGTATTGGTTTGTTTTGGTATGGTTGTGGAGCGCAGCGCACTCATTTTTCCGTTTTAGCCCTGAAGCTGGGTGGTGGGAACGGACGTTTATTTTTTAATTTATATATTTATTCACTTTTGAGGAGAGGGGCTATGTGGAGGTTTAGCAGAATTTTAAGATCAGGAAAGAATCTGAAGTGTCCTTTCATTCCTCACCTCTTCCCCAGCGTCAGTTTCCCAGGCCCTGCCAGTATTAATATACCTGAGGAAGAAAACAGGGATGGGTAGTCCAGGGCCAAATAGGAAAGGGAACCGAGAATCTACCTAACCTTATTACTGAACCCTAGCAGTGATATTGAAATGTGCTTTTTCAATATTCTCAGATACACTGAGAGAATATGAGAGATCTATTTTATAGAGTGCTGCAAGGTTAACCTTTTAACCTTTTGTGTGTTCACAGTCTATAAAATAGATCTTTCCTATTCAACTATGCATTTAATCTTTTCTCAGATAATACCTTACCAAAACACACACAGACACACACACACTAATCATTGTCAATAAAGTTTATGAAAATAATTAAGTGAGAATATTATTTTAGGTCAGGTGGGTCCGCGTACCGTGGGAGGCCGAGGCGGACTGTTCACTTAAGCCCAGGAGTTGGAGACCAGCCTGAGCAACATGGGGGAACCCCGTCTCTACAAAAAATAGAAAAATTAGCTGGACGTAGTGGTCCTCACCTGTAGTCCCAGCTACTTAGGAGGTTTAGGTAGGAGGACTGCTTGAGGCCGGAAGGTTGAGATCCAGGCTGCAGAGAGCCTAATTCATGTCACTGCACTGCAGCCTGGGTGACAGAGACGCTGTGTCAAAAAGTAAATATACAAAAAAATATTAACATCTTAGATTCCTGTTTTTGTTTGTATGCAAAACTACCATCTCATTGCCTAAGCCTGTAGTAATTATTGTTTAATATTTGATATTTCCTGCATTTCTACCAAGTGCTTTGTGACTTTACTTTCTACCTAATAAGCTTGAGACCTGAGGAGGCCGGTTGAGAATAAGAGATCTGCATGGTAGTTCTTCAAATGCTGTATGCAAATTAAATATTTTAAAAATGTTAATCTGTAGGCACAACTTGTATTTAAAAGATTTTCCTAGTGAGCTGCTGAGAGTTTGCTCTAATATTTAATCGGTTGAGGTAGATGTTAATGGGTAAAATCCTTTTTTTTTTTTTTGAGACAGAGTCTTGCTCTGTCGCCAGGCGTCGGGCTGGAATACAGTGGTGCGATCTCATCTCACTGCAACCTCCGCCTCCCAGGTTAAAGCAATGCTCCTGCCTCAGCCTCCCGAATAGCTGGGACTACAGGCATGCACCACCACACCCAGCTAATTTTTGTATTTTTTAGTAGAGACGGGATTTCACCATGTTGGCCAGGATGGTCTCCATCTATTGACCTGGTGACCCGCCCACCTCGGCCTCCCAAAGTGCTGGGATTACAGGCGTCAGCCACTGCGCCCGGCCGGTAAAATTCTTGGAAAACAAATAAATAGATGTGGCTAGACTCAAAAAGTTCTCATACCATACAACTCAGTAACTGTAGTTGCAGGGATTATTCTGAAGATACATCACAGGTTTGTTTACAACAGCAAAAACTGGAAAATATCTAAATGTCTAATAATTTGGGAATGTAATATTTAAATTTTGGTCTGTACTCTATCAAGATAACATTATAGTGTTTTATCTCCAATGCAAATGTTTACCTAACATTTCTCAAAGCATATTTTTCAAAAATTCAAGAAATATATAGGATAATTAGAACCATGTTGTATTCATTCTTACACTAATATAAGAACTACCTGAAACTGGTAATTCTTATAAAGGAAAGAGGTTTAATTAGCTCACAGTTCGACAGACTGTACAGGAAGCATGGTTGGGGAGGTCTTGGAAAGCTTAAATCATGGCAAAAGGTGAAAAGGAAAGAAGAACGTCTTCACATGGCCAGAGAAGGAGAAAGAAAGCAAAGCGGGCGGGTGCAACACACTTTTAAATAACCAGATATGGGAACTCACTATCAGAGAACAGCAAGGGGGAAGTCTACCCCCATGATCCAATCACCTCCCACTGGGCCCCTCCCCCAACATTGGGGATTACAATTCAACATGAGATTTGGGTAGGGACACAAATCCAAACCATATCACATATCAAGCCATCAAGAAAAGCATCTCCGAAAGAGGAAACCTACTTAAATAGGAATAGCAATTTATTTTTTTTTCTGGGTGTCTGGACTATGTGTTTATAAGAAAATCCTGGCTGGAGTGGTGGTTCACACCTATAATCCCAGCACTTTGGGAGACAGGAGGACTGCTTGAGCCCAAGGGTTCAATACCAGCCTAGGTAATTTAGTGAGACCCTGCCTGTGCAAAAAAATTTTAAATTACCCAGGTGTGGTGGTACATGCCTGTGGTCCCAATTGCTCAGGAGGCTGGAGTGGGAGGATCAATTGAGCCCAAGAGGTCAAGGCTTCAGTGAACCTTGATCTCACCACTGCACTCCAACCTGGATAACAAAGTGAGATCCTGTCTCAAAAAAAGAAAATAAAAAGAAAATCCTTTGAAACCCACTAAGAGAAAATCAGAGACATGCCTGTAGTGCCCAAAAGCCCAGTTTATTTAGCTTGATGTAGCAAAAGAGAGGGAAAAAAAAAGCCAGAGGCAAAATTTAGGAATCTCCCAATCTTAGAAAGTTAAGAAGGGTTTGGGTTGGGTGAATTTAAGCCAATCTTGGGAAGTGAGGGAACTGGTTAGAATTGGAAGAAGCAGGATTGTTTGCTGACTGGTTCAAGGTTCAAAATGGAGACTTTTAAACTTTCTGTGATTGAGGAATTTTTTGTTTTGTTTTACTTGAGCTGTGAATCCATTATTTTGCCATAAGTTAAGATCTTGAAGAGGGCCCATCATTTAACCCTCCTAAATTTAATACTTTTAGACTTTCTCCCAAATGACATCATAATAGATTTCTAGATCTATATCAGTGACATTATGTTGATAGTCTTCCTTCAACTCATTATCATCATGTTTCGTGTAGGTCGTTTTGTTTTCAAAACTAAAATTTTTCATTAAATCTCCATTGACTTTCTTGCTGTTTTTATTGAATAGTAATTTAAAGAACCATCTCTCTGAACATTGGCTGCTAACAACATTTAAGACTCTGGAAACTGTGTTCTTGGCCAAGGATATGCCACCAAGAGGCAAATTAAATGCATCAATGTTTGGAACCCCTGATTAGAAACATTATCTGATACTCATAAATTTCAAAAAAGGGAAAGTTTCAGGGTTGATATTTCCATCCTGACTAGCATGAGCCTCTAATTTATTTAAGTTGCATTCAACATGGGCAGAAGAGTTCATGTATATACAGCACCAAATTTTATTATGGTTTAGTAAAGCACAGATACTTCCAATGTAATTCTATTATTAAGAACCATATTTGGGCCGGGCGCGGTGGCTCAAGCCTGTAATCCCAGCACTTTGGGAGGCCAAGGCGGGTGGATCACAAGGTCAAGAGATCGAGACCATCCTGGTCAACATAGTGAAACCCTGTCTCTACTAAAAATACAAAACATTAGCTGGGCATGGTGGTGCGTGCCTGTAATCCCAGCTACTCAGGAGGCTGAGGCAGGAGAATTGCCTGAACCCGGGAGGCGGAGGTTGCGGTGAGCCGAGATCGCGCCATTGCACTCCAGCCTGGGTAACATGAGTGAAACTCCATCTCAAAAAAAAAAAAAAAAAAAGAAAAAAGGAAAGAGAAAAAAAAGAAAAAAAAAAAACAAACCATATTTGGTTCGGATTAAATGCTCTGGTTTTAAGACATGGAACTGGAATACTCTCATTAACAATTTCTGATAAAGTAGGAAATAGATTTGTAGGAATTGTAAAAGAGAGTATTCTTCAGGGAAGAAAATGGCTCTTAGTAACCTGGTGTCATAGTCATTGCCTGGGAGTTATGGGAGCAAAATAAAGAGCATTTGATTCTGAAAAAGTATAAAGGACTAGCCCATAAGAAAAAGAAGCCTGTTGGAACACAGGACAAAAGAGAGGGTGGCACCTTTCTGTTATTGGTTCATAAGTACATGCTACTTGACTCATTTAGAGCAAGCTATCATAATTCATTTAGAATATGGACATTTTCCCTTTCAAGCAAAATGCATTTACCTTATGAGTAAACTGATGACAGTAGTTTTTGGTGTTAGCACTAAACATTGTGAGTAATTTGCTACACATCCTATTCTCTTTCTAGAAAGATTTGGAGGATCACAGTTCACTATATTTGGATCATATTAATAGTGTTATTTCATGTCAGACCACTGAACAAAACTACTGATAGTTTAACTTGTGGTAGTTAACAAGGGGTTTGAAAACACCATAGACAACAAAAATATTGGAACCAAATTGTATTCATTAAAGGAATTGGTCTGTAGCGCAGTAAACAGGCATAATTGTAACAGTCTTATTAGAAGGTTATATTGTCTAAACTCTTTTACAATAATCTACCTGTTAAAATCATTGTCAAAATTGATTTACTGAAGAGCAACTGAGGAGGAATTTAAGACACGTATGACTAACATTTGTTACTTCCTACAAGCTAAAGGAGAGTGAAAAATTTTAATAAGAAGCAAGACATCTTGGTATGATTTCACAACTATAGAAAAGTTGCAAGAATAATATTTGTTTTACCATAATTTCTGTCTATGTACATATACAGAGACATATGTTTACATATTACTTTTTCTGAATCATTGGCAAGTAGGTTGCATGTATCATGCCTCCTTTTCCCTTAATATTTCAGTATCTGTTTCCTAAGAACCAGGATTTTCTTTGACATAAACAGTGCTATTACCAAAATCTGGAAGTTAACATTGATAAAATACTTCTTAAAAATCTACAGCCCTTATCACATTTTGTCAGTTGTCCAAATTCAATGTCTAGTCTAGGATCACATAATACATTCAGATGTTATATCTCTTTATTCTTTAATTTAAAATAATTTTTCAGCCACTGTCTTTATGATATTGATGTTTTGAAGAACCAACACCACTTATTTTATATGTTCCTTAATTTTGGTTTGGCAGATGTTCCCTCATGATTAGATACAGGTTA